TGATTTCTAATATCTTCTTTACTTGTTTATGTTCCTTCCTTTCAAAGAAGCCCCCTTTCTAAAAAGGTCAAAGAAAGGAAAACGAAAAGACAAGTCAAAGATTGGGAGAAATTATTGTAAATCATTTATCTGATAAAGGAATTAGGTCCAGAACATGCTAGAAACTTATAATAATAAAAAGACAAACAATCTAATTTTTGAAATGAATGAAAGACATTAATAGACATTTCATCCAAGAAGATAAAAAAATGGCTGATAAGTACATGAAAAGGCACTCAACAAATGACAAGTGATAACTTCTCATCAAGGAAAAGCAAGTTAAACACTATGAGATACCACTTTACACCTATTAGAAGGACTATAATGTATTGGTGACAGAAGAACCTAGACCCCTCATATACTGCTGGTATATGTATAAAATGGTGCAGCTTCTTTGGAAAACAGTTTATTAATGTTAAAGTAAAGAAGTAAAGCACCACTTTATAATATGGCCAGCTATTCCACAACCAAAAGAAATAAAATCACCTACACAAAGACTTGTAGGTGAATGTTCACAGCAACATTAATCAGTATAGTCAACAAGTAAAAAGAATGTTCATTAACTGGGACATTAAATAAATGAAATAGTTTCTAAATATATAATGGAATATCTTCAGCAATAAAATGAAACATAATGTCAACAATACATTCCACAATAGATGAACCTCAAAAATATGCTGTTAAAAAATCACTTAAGATTACATATTGTTTGACTGCATCTATATGAAGTATCTAAAAATGACAAATCTGTAAGAAGCAGAAAGCTAATTTATATGATTGAAGACTGGGGCCTGGGAATGTGGCTCAAGCCGTAGCGCGCTTGCCTGGCAGGCGTGCGGCCCAGGTTCGATCCTCAGCACCACATACAAACAAAGATGTTGTGTCCGCAGAAAACTAAAAAAAATAAATATTAACATTCTCTCTCTCTTTAAAAAAAAATGATTGAAGACTGAAAAAAAAAGAGAAGGAGAGATCATTTAAGAATAAAAGAAGTATTTTAAAGCTGGATTGTGATGCTTGTGCAACTCAAAATTTACTGAATAATCACTGATTTATACCCTTAAAACCTGAGAATTAGAGCTGGGATTGTAGCTCATCAGTGGAGCACTTACCTTGCATGTATGAGGCACTGGGTTTGATTCTTAGCACCACATAAAAATAAATAAATAAAATAAACGTATTGTCCATCTACAACTAAAAAAAATATTTTTAAAAAACCCTTTAGATAAAATCAATTTTGAAAAAAAAAAAAACCTTAGAATTTTATGATATATAAATTCTACCTCAACAAACGAGTTTTTAAAAAACTATTTTAAGAATATCCATTCTTCTGGTAGCATTACCAACCAGGGAAACTATTTTGGGTTATCTTCTTACTGAGGACCTACAATGAAATAAGAACTGTGCTAAGCGACAGATTAAAAAAACAAACCAAAAAACTGTGTAAGCTCCTAGAACAGAAAGGAAAATCTACTAGAAGAGATCACCATATAAATAAATGTGCAGGAAAAAATCTTAACCATTATTATAACAAAGTCCACCAAAAGTTCACCTTCCAGATAAGAGGGAGCAGAGAAAGGAGGAATTCATTATATATAATAATTAAGAATACTGAAAGGGGTTTTAGAAGACCTGGATGAATGTGGCTCCTTTAAAGATTATGTAAGCATAATTTCCTTGGCCTCAGCTTATTCAAGTTCAAATTGAAAGAAGGAAATGACATGAATTCTATGTTCTTATGTAACCAACCATCTTACTATCATGATAACTAAAATGTTAATTCTCCATGTAGTAAAGGCTAGAAATGAAAAAGCAAAGGATTTATACATGGGACCAACCATAAAATTCCAAATTTATTTATAGAAGAAACAATTTTCTAATTTAAAAAAATGAGTTTTTCCCAAACAGAAAAACCGATTTCAAAATTAGAACAATAAGACACTAGGTTATTACTTATAAAAGTAAGCAACACTTACTGAGCATGTATGTTCCAAACACTATACTAAAATACCTCACGGGGTTTTGCCTCATTAATCCTTACATTAGCCCTCAGAAGTTGGTGTTTTGTTAATTCTCCAATTTTAAAAATGATTCATCTAGTTAGTGGCAGTTCTGGTCCCAGTGTAGGTTGGTCCTCAATAAATGAATAACCCAAAATAGTTATCCTACTGGGAATGCTACTAGATGAATGAATATTCTTTAAAATATTTTTTTCCTTGGGTTTTTTTTTTTAATTAAAGAAAACCATTTGAGATAAAATTTATATATAATAAAACAAATTTATAGAGGCAAGAAGCAGATTAATTGTTACCTGAGGGTAGGAATGGAGACTGACTAAAAATAAGTATGAGGGATCTTTTGAGAGAGATGGAAATGTTCTAAAATAGAATTATTACATTTTTACAACTCTAAATTTACTGTAAGTCACTGATCTGTTATGCCCTTAAATCCTAGCCCATCTCAATGCAAAGCCCACACTCTTACCCACTGCTCCAATGAGCATAAGATGTACAGGATATATAATTTTAATGTGTAACTGACGACAAGAAACCTATTTAGATAAATAACCAAAAAATAAATAATAAAGCAGGCAGAGGAAGAAAGATCAAAAGTTGACTAAGAGGTCAGCTGACAGTCCAATTGGGCTTATTTATTGCTTTACAAAGACTTACTGAACTGATCTCCTGCTGTGAATCTTGTAGGTGCTGTTGAAGAGGTTCCAGCTGAGCCTTCCCTGACTCCACACTCTCCTCCAATTCTGCTGTTTCTTGTTGCAGGCGACTTAGCTCTTCTCTAGCTTTGGCCAATTCTTCTTCATAAGTGGAGATCTGTGATTCCTGATTAGTTATTTCTGCTTTTAGAGAAGAGATCTATAATATGGAGATGAATAAGAAGAAAGGGGAATTAAAAAAGAGCTGTCATTAAAATGTTAATAATGTACTTATTTCTCTGTTTACTATTTTGGTGTTTTTTGATGTATGGTTTTGGCAGAAAAGGGTAATTGGGGAAAGTATAGAGGAGAGTTGAAGGTATAGATATTTTACTTCCAAACTATCTGGAAAAACTTTATCTTCTGCAACAGTGTTCTTCTATTTCCACTAAAGAGAGCCTGTAATTTCTGATGAACCTTACTCCATTTCCCTCATATGCCAACTGCTGATGAGACTGCCACTTAATGAGAATAATAACAAAAATAGAGAATATTTTCATTTTAAGCCAGGAAAAACAACTCGGGTACAGATGTAGGCAGCAATAAGTAGCCAGACATTACCAGCTGGGCCTCCTCAGCACATTTCTTTCTGACTTCCTTGAGTTGCTCCTCCAGCTGAGCTTTCTGCTCATCCAGTTCATCAAGGAGTTCCTGTACTTGCTGCTTTTGAGCCTGTAGTTTTTGTAGATTAACATTTTCCCTTTGAACTTCATCTTGAAGATCCTGAAATATAAGAAAATTAATATATTATTCTCTTTGGGGGCAGGGAAAGTTTAAGTTAATTTTTAAATCCAACTTAGGAGGGGCTGGGTTTATAGCTCTTGGTAGAGGTAGAGCACTTGCCTCGCACTTGTGAGGTACTAGGTTCTATCCTCAGCACCACATAAAAAATAAATAAATAAAATAAAAAAGATATTGTGTCCATCTCTAAAAATATATATATCTTTAAAAATAAACAAACAAATCCAGTTTAGGAGAAAAAAACTCTTACTGTTTTGGAAGACAACCTCCTCCTCCTCCACCATACCAGGGATTGCACCTGGGATGCTTAACCACTGAGCCACATCTCCAGTTCTTTTTTTTTTAGTTTTGAGATAGAGTCTCATTAAGTCCTTAGGGCCTCACTAAGTTGCTGAGGTTGGTATTGAACTTGTTATCTTCCTGTCTCAGTCTCCCCAATCTCTGGGATTACAGGCATGCACCTCCACTCCTAGCTTTATATACAATCTTTACTTGAGAACTCCTTCCCTAAATTCCAGATTTAGATATCCAATATGCTTACTCAAATCTATCCTTCAGGGTTGGGGATGTAGTTCAGTGGTAGCATATGTGAGACTCTGGGTTTGATCCCCAGGACTGCAAAAACAAAATAAAATTGAAAATAAAACAAACAAACAAACAATAAAAGCTGGCCCCGGGCAGCTATGGGCTTCTCTAACATGTTGAAAACAGATCTCCTGGCACTTTCCCCAAAATCTTCTTTAATTTCAATCTTCCCACATCTCAGTTTTTCTAGTCAAGAAAATATGGCGTCTTCTTCTCTCACTTCTCATCTCCAATACATCAGCAAATCCTGTTGCTACTTCCTTCAAATAAATGGGATTATTTTTTGTCTTGTCCCCCATACCCCACTGGCCTCATGCCAATTTGGCAAGCCACTTTTATCTTTCTTCTGGATAGCTGCCTTCCAGCTGATAACCCTGCTTCCATTCATGCTACCTTTCTGTGTATTTTCAGCACATCAACCACTATTAAAAACCTATGCTAAATATCATACACTCTGAGGCTTGTATGTGGAAGTGAGAAAGGTGGTTGCACAGTAGAGACTAGAATAATGATTACCATAGCCTGGGAAGGCCAGGAAAGCAAGTGGTAAAATAGACAATGAGGTGCAACTGCATAAGAGGAATTACTTTTCTGTTTATTGCATAGAAGGATAACTATAGTTGACAACTATCATTAAATATTTCAAAATAGCTATTAGGATTTTAAATGTTCTACCATAACCAAATGACATGTCTGAGGTGATAAGTCAACTCCCTGACCTGGCCATTTTACATTGTATAAAGGTATTTGAAATGTCACACTGTATGTTAAAAACATGTACAATTACTATATGTCTACTAAAATTAAAAATATTTTTTTAAAAAATGAAACCTAGCTGGGGTGGTGTCCACACTTGTAATCCAAACTCCTTGGAGGCTAAGGCAGGAGGATTGCAAGCTTGAGACCAGTCTGGGGAAATGAGCTAGACCCTCAAAATTTAAAAAGGGCTATGGCTGTGGGTGACATTTGTTGTCCAGTTTTCAGCTCACTGTCCACTGCCTGGTGTGGATGGGTGAAACCCAGGGCCTCTCAGTTCCAGTGTCAATGCTGTTATAGTCTAGGTTCTATATAGACAGAGCCTCACTAATTTGCTGTCTTGAACTTGCGATCATCCTACCTCAGCCTCCTGAGTCACTGGGATTACAGGCATGCACCCCTGCACCTGGCCCTGGCTTCTTTCATTTTAACATACCGTTTTCAACCTTGGCATATAATTATTTTAAACAGCTTTAAAACAGTTTATATAACATAAAATTTGTATATTTTAAGTGTACACTTCAGTAAGTGTAATAAATTTATATACCTGCGCAACAATCATAATTCATCTTTACAATAATTCATCACTCCAAAAATTTATCTTTAGACATTTTGCAGTTAATCCCCACTTCCACCTCATGCTCCAGGCAATTAATAATTTGCCTTTTGTTGCTACAGTTTTGCATTTTATAGAAATTTCACATAAATAAAATCATATATGCAACCTACTATATCTGGCTTGTTATATTCAGTATAACATTTTATAGATTCATGTGTTGTTGCATGTATAAGGAGCTTATTTGTTGTTTCCCTTTTTATTGCTGAGTAGTATTCCATCATATGATGGATATTGCAACTGACAGACATTTACTGTTTCTAGTTTGGGCTATAATGTTTTTGTGAATAATAGTATACAATTATTATCTTATTTTTGGTCTATCTCCCACACAAATATAAGTAAGCAGGAATATTTGTGTTATTCACTGCTGTACTCCATAAGGATTTAGTGAATAATCAAAGATCTAATTCTTTTTTTTGGTACCAGGAATTGAACCCAGGGGCACTTAACCACTGAGCCACATCCCCAGCCCTTTTTAATATTTTATTTAGAGACAGACAAAATATTGCTGAGTTGCTTAGGGCCTCACTAAAATTACCAAAGCTGGCTTTGAACTCACTGTCCTCCTGCCTCAGCCTGCTAAGCAGCTGGAATTACAGGTATGCGCCACTGCACCCAACTTTAAAGATGTTAATTCTTACAGGGTGTGGTGGCACATGCCTACAAATCCCAACAACTCCAAAGGCTGAGGCAGGAGGATTGCAAGTTCAGACCAGCCTCGGCAACTTAGAACCTGTCTCAAAAATCAAAAACAAAAAGGGTTGAGGATGTGGCTGAGTAGTTAAAGCACCAAAAGAACTGACAATCTTGTTTTTCATTTTTTGTTGTTGTTGTTGTTTTTGTTTTTTAATACTGGGATTGAACCCAGTGGTGCTTTACCACTGAGTTACATCCCTTCAGCCCTTTTAATTTTATTGAGGTAGAGGAAAGCAGTGGAAGAAGTAACTACAGATGTGGTAGAAAGCACAAAAGAGCTAGAATTATAAGGGGAGTCTGAAGATGTGACTGAATTGCCATAATCACATGATAAAATATTTTAAAATATTTTTTTAGTTGTAGTTGGAAACAATTCATTTATTTTATTTATTTACTTTTAGTGCTAGGTGAGTGCTCTACTGCTGAGCCACAACCCCAACCCCACATGATAAAATTTAATGTTCTTAAGGATAAGCCAAAAAAAAAAAAAAAAGTGTTTTCCTCTCCTGGCAAAAAAGCTATGATCAATGCTGAAATGAGGGGCTGGGGATGTGGCTCAGGTGGTAGCGCGCTCGCCTGGCATGCATGCGACCCGGGTTCGATCCTCAGCATCATATACAAACAAAGATGTTGTGTCCGTGAAGGTGGGAGTTCATAACCCACTTGAATCAAAGTGTGGAATATGTCAAGAAATTTGTAATGTTTTGAACAACCAACAATAAAAAATTAAAAAATAAATAAATAAATATTAAAAAATTCTCTCTCTCTCTTTAAAAAAAATGCTGAAATGATAATAAAGGACTTGGAATATTACATGAACTTAGTTGAAAAGCAGGTTTGAGAGGACTGACCCCAAGTTTTAACAAAAAAAATTTTTTTAGTTGTAGTTGGACATAATACTTTATTTTAGTTATTTATTTTTATGTGGTGCTAAGGATTGAACCCTATGCCTTACATGTGCCAGGCAAGCACTCTACCACTGATTTACAATCCCAGCCCCCTGACTCTAATTTTTTATATGTATTTATTTTTTGGGGTGTAGATGGACACAACACAATGCCTTTATTTTTATGTGGTGCTGAGGATTGAACCCGAGTCCCGCCTCTGCTAGGCGAGTGCTCTACCGCTGAACCATAATCCCAGCCCCCTGACTCTAATTTTGAAAGAAGTTCTATGGGTAAAATGCTCTCAAACGGCGTCATATGCTACCAAGAAATCTTTCATGAAAGGAAGAATTAATCCATGCAGCAAACTTCATTACTGTTTTATGAAACTGCCATAGCTATGCCAACCTTAAGGTACCACCACCCTGATTAGTAAGCCATCATCAAAATCAAGGCAAGATCCTCCACCAGCAAAAAGATTATGACTTGCTGAAGACTCAGAAGATAGTGAGCATTTTTACCAATATTTTTAAAAGTAGGATGTGTACATTGTTTTGTAGATATAGTGCTATTGCACATCCCATAGATTAAATAGTATAGTATAAACACAACTTTTATATGCACTGGGAAACCAATAAAGTGAATATCACTTGATAGTGATATTCACTTTATTGCGGTGGACTATAATTGAAACCACCTTATCTCTGAGGTATGACTGTAACGCGTAAATATCAAGTTCACAGTTGTTTTACAGTATTGATTAGGGAAATAATGATAAGAAAAAAATGTCTGTACATGTTCAGTACACATAGAATTTTTAAATACTTCAATTTCAATCTGTGGTTGGCTTAATTGCTAGATGTGGAACTCATGGACAGAGGGCCAACTGTAGCCTGAAAAACTACATGGTTTGAAAAATTTTTATAATTTAGTTATACAATATTTTTAAACCGTCAACTAAAGTAATTTTATTATTTTGGATACATAACCCATTATAACATTCCTTACTTTGTTTATAAAATATTCACATAGTTTATATGTAGTAATATACTGACCCCAAAGAATTTTTTCAATTCCTGGGGGAAAAAGATTTTTCTCTTTCTCTTTAATTAAAGCTATTCAGATCACCTTTCAGCTTTTTGCTAAGGTCCAGTGTAGTATCTGTTCCTACAGGTTTAATATCTGATACATCTTCTATCCCAGACAATACATTAAATATATCAAATGGATTTTTGGAAATAGGAGATAGAATAGGTGCTTGCTCCATCCACTCCATGCACTGAGTGGACATTGCAGTAACTCCAAAAACAGTGCACACACAAAAAGAAAAAAAAAAAAAAGAGGTGGAAATAGTAAAACTATTTATCTATCCCCACCAGAAAGTATTCTAGTCTAATTTCCCATTCTGCCTCATTCCCAATTAAAAATCTAGGACTTCACATCTCTAATAATATCTAGTTTTTATGATTACATGTAATTTTGGTTTCTTTTATTGCAAATCCAATGGAAAAAAAATAAAATGCATCTTTTTTTTTTTTTTTTTAAGAGAGAGAGAGACAGAATTTTTTTTTTAATATTTATTCTCTAGTTTTCGGTGGACACAACATCTTTGTTTGTATGTGGTGCTGAGGATCGAATCCGGGCTGCACGCATGCCAGGCGAGCGCACTACCGCTCGAGCCATATCCCCAGTCCTGCATCTGGTTTTTTAAAATTTGTTTTTGGTTGTAGAGGACATAATATTTTCATATATATATATATGAGAAATATATATGTGTGTGTATACACACACACACCCTGAGCTATATCCTCAGCCCTATTTATTTTATTTTTATGTGGTGCTGAGGATTGAACCCAGCATCTCAGACATGTTAGGCAAGTGCTCTACGACTGAGCCACAACCTCAACCCCAATACAATGGATCTTAAAAGGGTCATAAGGGGGGCTAGGGTTGTGGCTCAGTGGTAGAGTGCTCGTCTCGCACGTATGAGACCTGGGTTCTAGCCTTAGCACCACATAAGAATAAATAAACAAAATAAAGATATGTGTCCATGTATAACTAAAAAAAAAAAAAAGATCATAAGGTATAAGAAAATGTCTAGGATACAGTAATAACTTTTAAAAGCTGAACAGAAAGGTATATATAGTATGTTAATAAATATAAAGCCATTTATGTCTACTTAGAAAATATAGCAAAATGCTAACAATGGGGGCTGGGGGTTGTAGCTCAGTGATAGAATGCTTGCCTAGCAATGTGAGATACTGGGTTTGAACCTCAGCACCACATTAAAATAAATAAATAAAGGTATTATGTCCATCTACAACTAAAAAGAATATTTAAAAAATGTTAATGATGGTTCTCTATAGAAAGGCTCTCTTTTTTCTTCCTTATAATTTTCTGTATTTTACAAATTTACTATGCTCCCATGATATTATCAGAGAATATCAAGTTTGCTGTTTTTCTGATGGTTTCAGACCAATATAAAAATTTCTGATGTGACTAAATTTTCATGTAATAATTACCAATAATAGGATTAATGCTGGTTTCCTTTAAAAAAAACTGAATCACATTTTTAAAAATAGCATTTTTGGTGATCCATTTAAATATAATAACCTCAGAAGACCTATGTACATAAAAGGAAAGGGTACGAACAAACCAGTATAATATTTACTCATTCCTGTACTTTCTCTTCTAAAGAGCAAACACAATCGCTCAAATTTCCCCACCTTATTGCCTTTTCTCATCTCTTAGCTGCAGTAAGAATCTACAAGGCAACATGGAAGTACAGGCCTTAAGGAAAAGGTTACTGAGAAAACACCTCACAAATACTTAGAGCTGGATACATGTCCACATTAAAATTATTTAAAATTCGTACCTCTTCATGTCTATTTCTAAAATGAAAAATACCTTCTACAAAAATTCTAACATAAACAAGAAGATCTTCATGTTCAGTAAGTAGATTTAAAGTTATTAAACTGAAAAAAGTAAAAATGAACAGTTGCAAATATATATGCTAACAGGAATTAAGAATCAAATTTCATTTTAATTTCATTAATGCTCAATGGTTAAGCACCCCTGGGTTCAATCCCCAGTAAGAGTTCAACCTATAAAATATTAACAAAATGAATGTGTTTGTCTGTTTCTTACGAAATACAGTGTGAAAATAAACAAAAGGGCAATACAAGCAAAGCATATATACAGACACATTCTTACAGTAAATTGGAAGCATAGTAGGTATCATTGAGTCAGACTTTTTCATACTGTTCATAATAACCTCATGTAAAAGAAGCTCCTAATTATTTGTACTTGCAAATTTGTGACCACCATTGTAATGCAATTTCCATATCGTTATCAGTACATCTAGATATACTGACTCTTATTTTGCTTATCCTGAAACTAAATAAAGGAAACTGATGCATGTCCCCCTCACCCATTTCTGCCACGTCTCAACTAGAGCAGTGGCAGGTTCTGGCAAAAAGTACCTCCTATCAAACCTGGATAATTTTCTCTTAATCTTAAGGTGGCCATTTGGGAAAAAAACTCTCCTGGTTCAAAGCATGAACTCGGCACTTTCAAATATCATCCCCTCAAGTGAGTTACTGAAGACACTTGCAGATACTTTTTCTTTAACTTCCTTGATCATGCTCTACCTGCCTCCCAGAGCTATCAACAACAAAAGGAGGAGGATAACAGCAATTAGAGAATGGCAAGGATGAAGTTAACAAGATTAATGTAATACAATGCCAAAGTTTGTTTTAGAAAAATGCGAAAGCCAGTCATATCCAAGAGTCTTTATTCATGAATGAAGGATATTTGAGCTGAAAATCTTGGCTTAAGAAAAATGTCCTGTTTTCTAGAAATCACTCAGGTTACTGAAAATGACAAATTCATTCCCTTCTTCCACACCCTATCAAGTGATATTAGATATATCAAAGAATAAAATAATTAATTTTAGTAACCCAAGTCGGATGTACAACTAAGAAGTAACTTAAGAATTCAACCTATAAGCTGGGCCTGGTGGCACATGCCTGTAATCCCAGCAGCTCAGGAGGCTGAGATAGGAGGATCACAATTTCAAAGCCAGCCTCAGCAAAAGTGAGGCTCCACACAACTCAGTGAGATCCTGCCTCTAAATAAAATATAAAAAAGTGCTGGCGGGGCTGGGGTTATAGCTCAGTGGCAGAGAGCTTGCCTCATACATGTGAGGCACTGGGTTTGATCCTCAGCACCACATAAAAGTAAATAAAATAAATAAAGATATTGCATCCATCTTTAAATAAAAAAAAAGTGCTAGGGATGTGGTTCAATGGTTAAGCACCCCTAGGTTCAATCCCCAGTAAGAATTCAACCTATAAAATATTAACAAAATGAATGTGTTTCTGACTGTTTCTTACAAAATACAGTGTGAAAATAAACAAAAGGGCAATATGTTTTGCTTAAAAAAAACAAAGCATATATACAGACACATTTTTATAGTAATATCTCTATATCAGAAGAATTATTAAAGATAACAAGAGGAATTTTGGTAATCTCACAAAAAGTGTTATTTATCTTAAAAAAAAAAAAAAAAAAAAAAAAACCTTTACAGACTAACCCCAAATGAGAAATAATCAGGAACACTATTATATACACTCAAAACAGAAGTTACAGGATTATTCTTAAAATAAAAAAGGTGATCAACTGTGGAGCAAGATGTTCAAGTCAAAGAACAGAAAGGAAGCCTATTAAATGAGGAGAGTGTTAGAAAACCCCACAAACAAGACTGCCTCTATTTCCTAATCATTTATTTCCCAGTGTATTCTAAAGAGCATTATCGCCAGGGAAAGAATGTTGAGCTCATATATCTAATTTTATTTCTAACTAAAATAAATCATCCCTCGTCCTCTGAGGAAAAAACCAACTAAGTGAATTAAAATTAAAATGAAAACAATATGGGCAATTATACAGAGTTACTCTTAACTGATGAAGTACAAATAATTAGGAGCTTCTTTTACATGAGGTTACTATGAACTCAATGACACCTACTATGCTTCCAATCCTTTCTGCCTGTGGCTTCTGGGTGTGTCTTTTCCTGTTATTTGTTTCATGCACAAAATCAAAGTTTATTCTTTTTTTTTTTTTTTTGTGAACTGCTTCCTTAAATTTACTTCCATCTAGCCAGGCACAGTGGTGCAGGCTTATAATCCCAGCAACTCAGGAGACTGAGGCAGAGAATCACAAGTTCGAGGACAGCCTCAGCAATTTAGGGATAGCCTAAGCAACATAGCAAGATCCTGTCTCAAAATAACAAGCAAAAAAGGGCTGGGGATATATCTTAGTAGTAAAGTGCCCCTTGGTTCAATCCCTGGCATCAAAATCAATCAATCAATCAATCAACCAATTCATTAACCTCCATCTAATAACATATTACCAAATATAGAAGAGATGATACAAGGCACAATTCCTAAGCTCAAAGAACTCATAACGTAGGATACTGGAATCATATCACGCACACCAAGCTAGCACTATAAGGGAACATAAAGTATATGCCATAAAATAGATATACACTCCTTTGGGAAAATACAGGAAAAACTGATATAGACTAAAGAGCAAGAGAAGAGAAAGTTTAAGAGAAGTGGTACAATTTGAGCTAAACTTTAAGGCATCGGTATAATTTATATAAGCAGGGTATAACAACACAAGGCATAAGTAGAGATAATGAGGAGAAATATATATGGCATATAGTTCAGAGTCAGATGATCAAAACATGACTAGTATGAAGGAGGGTCTGTATTTCATTTTTTCTTCTACCTCAGATATATCGGTGATATATGACAATCTCTCATCATTAACAGTGGTAGTGGGCAACAATAAAGATTTTTATATCTGAGTCATGGTACTAAAATTGGTTTAGGAAGAAAAGAAAAAGAGGTCAGAATGAGCACTTATGATCTGACTGTGAATTTATACATGATAGGTGAAAAGGGTGACAGCAATGAAAAAGAGAACTGATAAAAATAATAAAGTTCGAACCTGAAGATTTTTTTTTCAATAAGATAGATTCATTTTAGATATACTGACTTTGAAATGCTAAATATAAAATGGTTAACTGAAGATGTGGGACTGGCATCTGACATTAAGGAGGGAAAAATACACACACACACACACAAACACACACACACACACAGTCTGTTTATCTGATCCTCACAAAGGCAATTGTAAGTAAAAAAAAAAAGGTAGGAAGGTATTTAAAAGCATATAACCCAAGAAAGCAGTGATTACTTAAGATTCTGGTTCTAGGAGAAAAAATAAAGCACAGGGAAACAGGTAAATAGCAGATTA